AATTTACAACAGAAGTAATCGATTAAAGCTCTATTGCCAATTTCCTGTAACATTTTATAATTTTACGCAGTGGTGAGCTATAAGCAATCATTTGATCAGACCAATCAATTATAGATTTTTATAAATTATAATCTATTACCATTTTTGGACAGTTTGAAACAACTGATAATCACCCGGTGACCTCACCACAAATAATGCATTAAACACAATTGTACAACTCTCTTTATCTGTTGTAAACAAAATTTCAGCAAAATATGCATCCTATAATAAAAAATGACGCATGCGTCACGGGCAAATCACGTAAAAATACGCGGTGCGGTCAACGTGTTAAACGAAATACTACCTGATATTTTTTCAAATTAAAAAATTAACTGGATTAACTGGAAATTAATTAAATTTAATTTTTAATCAACTAATTACTTGACCTTAACAATAAAAATGATCCTCTCTCTTGATAGTTTCATTAAACTATTAAAATAAACTTCATTTAATGTTGCAATTTAAAGATAATTAAGCCTCGCAGATTACGTCAAAAGCAGTTGCCCCAAATATAGATAAACAATTAATTAAAGAGAGAACGTATTCAGAAAGAGATCTCGCATATAATTCGCACTTTAAGTCGTCTATATTTCAACAAAGCTTCTTCACACAAGTCGTAACTAAGACTTGAAAATGAATTGACGACCTTGACTCGAATTTGCTAATCAGCCAATTACCGGTACTGATTTCAACAAATTGCGTACCTCGTATATATATTTTTTTTTAACAGGCACCAACTAACTGTGCGCTACTTCCTATTAACGAAAATAAAAAAAAAAAAAAGCACAGCGAGATGCGACGAAAGGCACACGACGACCCTCCCAAGTATACCTCCTCCTGTTATAACCATCGAGCAATCTCAACAATCGTCTTTTTTCACCGTGGGAACGACTGGAAGCTGATAAAAAAGACGGAAATTGAACGAAATACCACGTCACACTTGACACCCGCGCATTTATATTTCCCCCTTCCCTCCTCGTTTCGCTGGACCGCGAAATTTAAATTTAATATTACCAATTTAATAGATCGCAAATAAACACACACATAGGACGAACAGTTTAGAAGAAAACATACTTCTCGTTTATCTAACACCCATTGGTTTGACCGAAAATATTCGTTTATCGTTTGCTAAATTTAGATCATAAAGTAGTAGTAGTAATAATAATAAGAATAATAATAATAATATGAAGTGGAATAAGAAAACAAACAATATACCATTAAGTTAATTTTAGTATGTTTAAGATTAAAATAATAATGAAAGATTGGGCGAAATTTTTTTTTAACCGAAAGAACACTTTTAAAAATGTACAGTTAATTCGAACCGACGAAGAAAATAGACGAGTAGAATTGAAAATAACAACTTTTATGAGGTTACGCGTCGTATTGCCTAATTTGTTTGGAAATAATGGATAGATCAAACTAACATGACAAGATGATATATTAGACGTGTATCATGAGATTCGAAACGATCTGGAAAAAAGTAAAACAGACGTGTCGAAAAATAAAGGAAGATTGTATATACTTATCGTATTCGATTGGATCAAAACTAGAGTATCACTAAATCGAAGGGGTCTTGTTGGTTAAAAAAGTCAAGAAAAAATCGGGACAGTGAGAGGAAGAGAGAAGTTGCGAAAGAAAAAACGAGACGGACAATAAGAGATCAGTCGCTACTATGTTGAACGTATGTAAGCGAGTACGTCAGTAGTACGATACGTATAAACACGTAGGACTTTCGCGATCTTGTTGGAGCGAGTGTAAGAGTAAGAGAGAGATAACGAGATAGGGAGATAGCAAGATAGCGAATGAACGAACGAACGTGCGAGTGAGTAAGTGAGTAGCAAGCGAGCGAGCGAGCGAGCGAGAGAGAGAGAGAGAGAGAGAGAGAGAGAAACGGAAAGAGTCTTTCTCGTTCTCCTTGTCTTATTAGCCCAAAGGAAAAAAGAGACAAGGAGAAAAGAGTCGTCGTGGTAGGAGCAGCGATCGAGTCCGTCGCTTGCTTGTCCGTTTGCTTACTCGTCGACTCGTTTCTTCTTTCGACTATAAGAGAAAGAGAAAGAGAATAAGAGCGAGGCAACGATGGAGCCGTGGGCGAAGAAAGACCACTCTCTGCAGCCAGCTGTAAGTACTTGTTGGGTCCTCTCGCCCGACATGACCCGACGACAACGAACCGATGACGATGACGATGACGATGACGATGACGACCGATGGATCGAGTGAAATCACGCGCGCTAGATGGAGAGAGCGGAAGAGAGAGAGAGAGGGGGGGGGAGAGAGAGAGAGAGAGAGAGAGAGAGAGAGAGAGAGTGTGAGAGAAAGAGAGAGAGCGCACGATCGACCACCTCCTGGCGACCGACGGCTCGTGCCCATTTTCGAACAAAAATTCCGTCGCTTAATGAATCAGCCGATCTTACGTTTAATATTAATTCGTGTATTTTCGTTTCCCAAAAAAATCGCTAAAAGATAGCCAAAGGATGACGATGTAACCGAACGCACAATATTCGTCCCCTCACCGCTCGAAAGAAGGCATCGCGTTACGCGACGGCCGAACAACGTTTCAGAAGCCCGTCGGGCAGCCATCTTGAGTAGCATGGCATGGTACGGCACGATACGACACGGCTCGTTTCTTCCTACATTCCTTCTTTCGTTACTTCCTTTCTCTATATTTTATCTACCTATCTTTATTTTTTCCTCCACACATTTTCGCGCGTTCTCGAATTATCAAATAATTACGCCATTTATTTTTCCCCGCAATATTTTTCATTAACTCATCTAAAAGACGAAATTCCATTTGGACGAGCATCGTCGTCGTTTTTTTAGTGAATGAATATAAATAAAAAGATGATAATAAAAATGAATAAAACGATGAATACTATGACTATAATACAAACGGAAACTCTCTCTTATGATATTACTCTCTCTCTCTCTCTCTCTCTCTCTCTTTCACATACCACACCATACACACACGCACTCTCTCTTTCTATCTAGATCTTTCTTATTCTATTTCCAAAGAGAGAGAGAAGCAAACACTTCCTACGAAGAGCTGTGTATATTCCGAGCAATCTTTCATCTTCTCTTCCTCTCTTTCTCCTTCTCTACCATCGATTCCTCGTCTTTCTCCTCCTTCACCTTCTCCCATTCTGGTACTTGTACAACCGCTGCTACTACCGCTTCTGTTACTTAAACTACTGCTGTTGCTATTGCTATTGCTGTTGCTGTTTTTTTACCTGGTCAAAATAATTCCACTTATGATGTATCCAGGATAACGACGATACTCCAGAGAAAACACAATTGTTAAACACTTAATTGCGTCGACACGCGCTTCGCGCTTAATCACCGATCACCAATTATCTCGCGACAACGGCGTCACATTTCACACAAATCAACAAAGGTTACCCACTTGACAAAGATGGCAGTCATCGACAGGGGTTAGATACACTACGCGCACGCGGTGAGAGCGAACTGCGCACACATTGCGCGCTCCTACGGCGCGGCAGAACGACGAACGATGTAGAACAACGAAGCAAATAGCGAATCAAATAACGAACCCAACTCTGAATTGCGGACGATGAAACCCGTACATTCACTTCAGAATATATTTGCGCGGCACGCGTCTTCGCCTCGACCAATCACCTCTTCTTAGCCAATCGCTCTCTCCATCGTCTAGAAGTCCTGTTTGCTCTCCTCGGCTCTACACGTGCGTATCCCACGGCATTGCGTGCTACTACCCAAGATCCTCTTTTCCTTCCCACTCCTCAACCTGAAGACGAATCGAAAAGAAAGAGGGGGTACGAATAACAATTACTAAACTCGTACATCGTACACAAAAATAATTTGCGTTCTGGAAAATACTAAACGCGCCCATTAACAGGCTTACCAATTTTTCTACGATCGAGAATATCTAGGGAATTTGATCAAATGCTTTTACTTACCTTACACCTGCCCCTTATTGCGTCATTCTTTTTCCATGTCGCTGAACTTTTTACTTTGATTAATATATTTAGTTATTTGCTCCAATGAAAAATTTTCAAACAAAACCAAGATTATCATTCGTCGTAGAAATAAGGAAAAAAGAAATAGAGGGTCGAACAAATTCGTTTTTAGCGATTCAACGATTTAAACGTCGACTCATTCGTCGTTTTATACGTGTATTCGCCGATATTTAACTAACAACCAATTTTCAGCCCCATAGACGATACTCTCCGTAAACCTTCACTCGACCGACATTTTATTTTTAATAAGAAGAGGGATGTTGGTATTAACAGGAAGTTGGCAATGCCGAATGCACTGATTGGTGATAGTCGATTATATTTCATTCTAGAAACGAGCCAATTATTATGCTTTGAGGCTGATGAAAAACTTATGAATCTATGCAAGTTTGTTAGAAACATAAATCGGCTTTCCTGATTGGCCCATTTAACAATGTTTCGTTTTATGATGCAAATAGCTTGTTCCTATCCTAAACCCATCGGAACCATTTATTTTCTAATGTAATACTATCGTGATCGACGACTTGTATAGGTTAGAATTGTATTTATGCATTATATAACTCTCCAAAGGATTCAAATATTTCAATCATGTAAATCAAAACGAATAGTAATTCATTTTAAACCCCCCGGACTTGTTCCTATGTATAGTATAATAGCTAATTGTAGATATTAAGCATTTTTTTGTATTATGACTCATAATTTAATTTTCAAATGATAAGCAATTATTCGTTCAATTCAATTGTTGTCTTAAAACGTGTTTCATCGTTCAAAATAAAATATTGATATACTTAAAAAAAATAGTATATTGTAACGCTAATATATGTATATTATAAAAATAATTAAAATATAGTTCTTCCGCCAAGCAATATTTACAAATATAGGTAAAACATTATAACATGAATGCAACAAAATTTTATGTAATATAGTAATATTAATAATGTAGGAATATATTAACAATACATAAAATATAAAGTAAAAAGTTATTAAGGTATTTATTTAAGTACAGGATTTACAATTGCTAATAAGTCTATATTCAATCAAAGTTTAAAGTCAGGTTTGCCATTGTAAGTACATCCAGATGTTTGTACGATTTGTGTGGCAGCCCAAATGCCACACTTTATACATATTTCTATATCTTTCCCTTGAATAAGTTGTGCAAGAAAACCTGAAAATATTATATAAATTAAAATTATATAAAATAATAATTGCATTATAAAAATTAATAAATATCCACAACTGATATAATCTACCTCCTACGAATGCATCTCCAGCACCATTAGTATCAATTACATTTTCTTCTGGGATTTTGGTAACAGAATATTCTCTTACTTCATTGTCTTTAACTAAAATAACTGGTCCAGAACCTTGAGTAATTATGACAATCCGATTCCTCTTTTTATTGACTTTTTCCATACGAGATATTTTCAATGCTATCTCTTTTCTGTCTATTGTCTCAAAATCATGAGTTTTAGCAAACACATCCGCTTCTGTCTCGTTACCAAACAAAATATCTATATAAGGGAAAGCATCTTCTAATGGTTTTTTAAAAATTTCGGATATAAATGGTGCACTGAGATTCATTATGAACATTTTATTGTTTTCACATGCATGCTTAGCCACTATTTGAATTACTTCTGGATTAACGGTTAAGAAAAATCCCTGTAATATCAAAATCAAAAATCGAATTCTTCTTAGATATGATCAATAAAAAGAAAAATATAAAGTAGCAAAGCACATGGAATATAATTGTATATATACTTACAGAAATATAAATATATTCAGCAATTTCTATAAGTTTCTTGTTTTCTGGTATTTCTATATGCGAAGTTGAGAAACAGTTTGCAGCTGCTAAATTAGCGCACAAAGATCTTTCCTTTCCGGTGATAAGAACAGCACAAGTTCCAGTTGGTTCCTTATCCGTATATTGATAGCAAACATTTAAGCCATTTGTAACAGCTCGCTCTTCTAGTATTTTTGAATATTTGTCTTTACCTACACAACCCATGTAAGTTGCAATTTTTGACTTATCCAAGAACCACTAAAAAAATATAGATGCTGACTATAGTAATAAGACAATACTATTATAAACAATTGCCACAATACTTGTTTTCTACAGAATATGAAAGAATATTAAACTAAATTTACTTGTGTTACTCTCAATGTATTCTGTACAGAACCACCAGCGATAAAATCAGCATTGCACAGCTCTACTAACTCATCATATAGAGGTTTATGTTTTGCATCCGCAAGAATAGCATTATTGGCTTTTAAGTCATACTTCTCCAGAAAATTGTTATCTACTGTTGCAGATATATCAAGCAGGGGATTTCCCATACCCAGAAGAAGACCTTCTCTGAAGCATTTGAGAAAATCGCGTTGGCATTTTCCGATATATTTTTCTATTCATCGCTTTATCATGCTCGGTCATTCGCATTACATTTTTTTGTTTTTTCATGATAGGCAATAGAGAGTACAGAAAAATGTAAACGCTCGAATTGAATGAATTGTTCACGTTATGAATAAATAAAACGGCAATAAAGTTGTTATAAATTTAAAACGATAGCGATAAGATATATATATAAAAAAATATAGTTAAATAAGTTTACGTATATCAGAATGATTGATATAGTAGATTACATAACCTATATCGTTCCTTTCTGAGAACACATTATAATACGGTCAAAGTTTCGCGGACCGATTGGTCAGAATGCGTACTACATCATCACTGGAATAATCATTCGAATGGTAAGACAGGGAACGTGAAAACGGACACTTCCTTCATTGTACTACATAGAACAAAGTTTCGTTCCGTTCGAAGCGCGCGAATGTTTATGATTCGTCACGCATGGACGAACTTAAACAACTCATTTCTTATACGAAGGTTGAATGTACGAAACATAACCTCTTCAAAATGATGATTAAAATGTAACTTATTTATTTGCAAATGACCGAGATATTAAAAACTAAAAAAAAAAAAAAATCCTACCGTAATTTATCTGCCATTGGTGAAGTACAAAATTTCTTATAGGAGTAAAATGATTTCCGAAGAAGGCACCGAGTTACTGGCGACTGCGCGCCCCCGTTGATGATTCGTCAGACGGCGTATTATCCTTGCGTCAAAGCGCGTGGTCCAATGAAATGGACAACTGTCGTAAGCTAAATGTAGGCAGGCACAATCGTTTAAAAAAAGATGCTACTTCATGCCGGGGCCGCGTTATCTTTAAGGTTCATCATAGTATTTATAATATTTGACGTAGAAAATTTTCCTAAGATAAATGAACCATTTTATCAACACAAATCGCACCAAGTCCCTCCTCCTCTTTTCCGACAGAGTTGCGATTGTCGATTGAACTGCGGGTAATAAAGTGGAAGTGGAAGTGGGGCTCTTCGAAACTCTTAAAATATCTAATACTATAAGTATATCAAATTATATAATCATGACTTACGAAGAATTTGTTATCTCCTGCATTGTTTTTTCAATCAAAAATTTTATCAATCAACTTCGCGTCTGAATTATGACACACACTGTTTTATCTTGCGTATAGGATAGAATCATTATAACGGAGATGATCAAATTTATGAAAAATAAGATGAAAATAGACTATGCGCTTAAATGGATATTATACATAATCAGTAAGATAAATCTCTCTCCTCTATCCTACATACAATTGTACTTTTCTAATTTTTATATCACGTTTTTATTGCACCATGTTAATAATAAATACTGCAATTCACATAAAAGAAACAGATAAGATAAATCTGAAATCATTTCTTAATACTCAATCGATTTTTGTTATTTTTAAAGGCGAGCAAGTATATCAATTCTTAATAAAAAAAAAAAAAGGTAAATAATTAACATCATTCATGTCAATCAATACAAAATAAATAACGTTATCTTTTAAGTATGAATATAAATTTCACTCGAGAACCTTGTTTTCTTACCTGTCTACTTCTACTTACCATGAAATACGATTAGAATTAACTAATGATCTTTTTAGTTTCGTCACGTTACATAAAAAAAAAAAAAAAAAAAACAGGATACAAAAATGCTCCTAAAATATTCAATCGATGCAACCCACTTTCGCGTAAGGGTCAATACATATATCAAATATATCAATAACGAGTCGTAATCGACTCGTGAACCTTTGAACATGGAATCATTGGGAAAGAAACTAAAAGGGAAAAGTGTAATAGTGTATGCGAGAGAGATAGAGAAAGAGATATAATAAATATCAAAAAAGAATTACTTTTATATACAATATCTGTCGATAGAGAAAATGTATAAATATCACATATGTTGCGACAAATGTTATCGTTTGTACTTACGCGATATTTTCGTGGTGAGGTAAAAATAACATGAGAAAAGAAGATACATCCATAATATACCGTTAGTAAGGAGATAGAGACGAGTAGTCAGAGGAAACACACCTGCTGTTATCAAAACGAACATAGTCATTCTCGTTATCACCAATTAAACAAAGACTAAAGAGAACTTACATATTCGTATATATATTATATAAGAGAAAAAAAATGTCTTCTTTGCATCGTACCTTAATAGAATGAGATTTGTCAAATTGTTCTATCTCTTATTCTCTCTTTCTTTTTCTCTCTCTTTTGCTCTCGCTCGTTCGCTATCTCTTTCTCTATCTTGCTTCTCTAAAGGGCATAAAAAGAAATAGTTTTAGTGAATGTAAGCTACATAAAAAGAGAACGAAGATAATATATTCAATTCGTTTTCTTTCGATATTATAGGTATTGAAAGAGGAGATATATAAATAGATGAATAAGTATATAGATAGAAAGATAGATAAATAAATAAATAAATAAATAGATAGATAGACATATAGGCACACAGCACAGACAGATTAAATTATAGAGTGAAAAAGAAGAAAGAAATGATACTGAGGCTGGTGGAGAGACTTGCCTTGATACGACGTGATATCTACAGGCACATCTTTATTAGACTGGATCTGCGAGACACCTCTGTCACCTTCGATGCCTCTCTTCTATGGAATACCGAGTCCTGGTCGACAATTATACATCGCCAAATGGGACACGTTGGACATCTCTTCCTACAGGGATTTCCAGCCCAATTCCTTTGAAGTACAGTCCATAGGTTTGGTAGTAGTAGCAGTGCTATCGTGTCCTACATCACACATTATATTACAATATGCATAAAATAGTTCGCAATATTCCCTTGTAGCGTGTTTCGTTTGCTAGCTAGCTAGCTAGCTTTTGATTTTTTTTTTTTTTTATTTTCGTTTCTGTTTGGTATTATCATTTTCATTTTCGCTTCGTTTCGTAATTTGCATTTTACCGACGACGACGACGAGGACGAGGACGAGGACGAGGACGACGACACCCGGCGACGATGGCGGCGGCGGCGGCGACGAAGGCGAAGACGAAGGAGGCGGCAAGAGACACGTTTTCTTTCTCGTCACGCGCGTTTGGGGGTAGTAAGTAGAGCAGTGGTCGAAGTAGTAGAGTGAGTAGTAATAACTGGTAGCAATACGTCTGTCTCGGTTCTCTTCAGATGCTTTTTTTATTTTCTTTTTATTTATTTGTTTTTTTTTATATATATTAAGAGGAGGAGGAGGACATTGATGGACGACGATCACGCTCACATACATGTGTTTGCACACACGTATATATAATGTATTTTTTTTTTCTTTTTTTTTCGTTTTGTTTACTTTTTCTCGCATATTATTATTTATTATACCGATTTTACGTGTCTCGTATCCTATGCAATTCGCTTTCTTTTCCGTTTGATTTTGTTTTCATTTTTTTTTTTTTTTTTTTTTCTAATTCCGTCCGTTCACGTTTCGTGTTTTTATACAGACACGCTATATACATATTATGCAGTTTTTGATCTATATTTTGTTTAATTTGTCAAGGGACTCGTAAAAGGCTGCAAGAAATTGAGACGTATCGACCTTAGTAATACAACTATTGGCTCGGAAGTTCTCATCTCGTTGACCTTCTCTCGGCACACATCCCGGAGCTCACACGCATTTGAACTTGACCACCGGTTGCAATGGGCCGTATGCGATGCGATGCGATGCGATTTTATCGAGATAACCAAATGTCGTAATCTCACGTCCGTACGACTACGAGAAGAGAGTCTGTGACACTGGGTCACCGTAGATTTTTGATCATCGTTAAAAGTCCGTTACAACCGTAATCTTCGACGACTTGTATTAGCCGATTGTTATTAAATATCCGACGAGGCTGTGAAATCCATGTTCGAGGTTTCTTACGACGAATAATACATATAATACACGTAACGACGAGAATAATAGAACCATAACGATACATTTTTATTAACAAACGGATTAATCGTTACGAGAGAACTCTAGAAAATATATATATGTATGTATGTATATATATATATATATATACAAATATAATGCATACATTATGCAACAAGATTCTCTCTCGAAATTGCAAGGCGTATAGAAACGAATATTTGTACCGGTTAAATAACACACCGAATAATTATTAAACATTCATTGTCGTCAATGTGCGTTATCGTTCTGGTCATCGTCATTGTTATCTCTATACGTCTCGTAGCTATTTTTCTTTTATCCTTTTTCTTTTTTTTCTTTTTAAAATAGATACACACATTGTGTAGATATTATATAATATTATTCTACTACTATCTCTCTATATGCGAAAAAAAGATGTGTCTTATTATATCAAAGAAAAGGAGTCTTTTGGTGTAGGTTTTATATCATGTATATCACTAGATGTATGACATAAAATATCTATATATTTACTTTAGATTTGGTATAGTAATCCTAAAAGAAAGTTGACTAATTCAAAAGTTGAAAATTGACCATTCGAAGAGACTATAACTCCATTCAACGAATCGAGCAAGGAGAGTTAAACAATGCACGTGATTCAAACGTGATTGGAACGTGATTGGAACGTGATCGGGACGGGAACGTATTCTCATAATCTTCAGATATTGTAACAATTGGAGCAAGTAACGATACATGTATATTCATTTCTGTATTCAATTGATAATTAATTATTGTATTAATTAAAAACCAATTAATAATTAAAGTGTCTCTCACATTTATTACGTGCTTAACGCGCGAATGTTTTGTTGTTTACCTCGTTGAATGGAGCATAAAAGAAGAAGAAAAAAAAAGAAAATACAACGATAGAATTTTCTCTTTAGTTCAATGTAAAAAATGAAAGTTTAAAAGTTGCCTCCTTTTTTTCTTTTTCCTTTCTTTTCCGATCTCAGGCTAGAAAAGACTAGAATTACGGACAGAAATCATGATCGAACAAGGTGTCACGATGATCGAGTACCTCGACTTGCGTTACTGAATCACAAATATTGTTAAGACCGTTACGATCTATGAAACAAACAATTTTACGTGTTCGGTTGTGCAATTCTGTTACCGAACGTGTTCTTCTTACGAATTTTTATGGTCGTACGAAGATCAATCTTTCTCAAAAATTGATGATCTACGCGATTCGACCTCCCTGTTTTTGCAACTATAAATATTTCTCTGGGTTTCATTTTTTTTTTGTTCACAGGTATTTGCCCGATTTTTAAGCTCTCACTTTTTCCAATGGATGCTGATTTATTTCAGCATTATGTATATGTAACACCGCACCAATCGTAATTCATTAAATTGAAAATAAAAAAAAAAAAAGAAAAAAAAAAAAGAACAATTAAAATTGTCAAAAAATTTATTTGCAGCGAGAGAGCGAGCACATACATACATATACACACACACGCTAAATAATATATTGGTTAAATATTACAAGAAAATAATATATACTATGAACGTATATATACAATAACGTTTAAATGAAATCAACGTAATCGTGTAGTATCCAATATTACAGTGAATCGTTAGATTTATCTTGAAGTATTATTGCCCAAGATATACTTCGATCGAAATTTTTACTTTACTTAGCAATTGAGAGACACTGTAGAAGAGAGAAAAAGCGAGGATCGCCAAGCAGAATTTAATAAAAAATTTATAACTACGATAATAATAATAATAATAATAATAATAATAATAACAATAATAATAATAATATCAGTAATAATATTAATAATAATAACAACAACAACAACAAATGAGTAATAATGCTATTTTTTTTATTCCAACGTTTTTCTTCCTTGTTCTTTCCCAATTCGAAATTATTCTTTCGATGAAGTTTTTTTTTTTTCTCCGGCGAAGTTATTGCCAGTAGGGTTCTTGCTTTTGCGTATTTACATTGTAACTATATAGAGAATTAAAAAAAGAAAAAAAAAAGAAATAAATAAATAAAAAAAAAAAAAAAAAGAAATAAAAAAAAACAAAAGAAGAAACTATATTGCACGTTTATGACATTTATTAAAATAAGAAATTGTAAAACAGAAGTGGTAATGTGACTGTCATTCAGATATACAAATAATCGTTTAAATCATGCATATATCACAAGGAAATTAGTAAGACAATTCGCTCGCTTTTCTCTTTAATACATGATGGATGCATAATATTACAAAAAAAAAAATTAATATCCCACGTCCATATATGCGTGAAGTGACTTATTCGCATTGTATGCTACCTCATGCGTAACTACTTCATCAGCGGTGCCAATTGTTCTGAAAACATCAGATCATTCAGCGAACGAATTTACATTATACGCGAATAGAATTATATTTTGATCTTTAAATTCTGCATTTACGTTTCTCGAATGTTTTTTTCCTCTTGGACGTTCCTAATTGTATCAAAGATTCGAAACAAAATAAAACAACCAAAAACACGCGACG